GGTAATCCGATTGCGCGTTTGTACGCCTTGCGGATGAGACAATCTAGTTTGGTGCGTTCAGTCGCCTGCCACTTGAGGTAGGAGGCGACGTACGTTATATGGTTCATAGCGAAAGCATGTGCCAGGCGAATGGTATTGCTTTCCTTCATTCCGCTGTGCCGATTTGTTATTCGTTTCAGCAACCGGATTGTTTCATTGACCGCACCCTCTAGTCTGCGAACGGTTTCGCCGTTGTGGCCGTTGGCGGACAGGCGCAAGCCCAGTACCCTAATGGTGTTAACTTGTGGGATGACAGCGCCGTCTGATGTGCGTACACTAATTTCTCTATATGCGCACTCGAATGCGGAATCGTTCTATCCCTATAATGAAGAAAGTTTTATTTATTCGGGCCAAGTAGCTAAGTAGCTATTAGAATCAGAAAATAAAATAGGTACTATTTCCTGGCGCGCGCGCATGCAGGCGGTTTGGCTCTATAGCTTTCACAGTGCTGTCAAGAAAAGCTGTCGCCGAGTATAGCGAGTGACGCTTTTCACGTTGACGGCACGAGATGGCACCACCAGAACATAGGCCGTACGAAGCTAATGGCACGCACTGCAGCAGAGCATGAAATCGTCGCTCTGTATTTCGGTGCATGCTTCGTAAATAGTTGTCGCTGCTTACCGGAAGTTCCTGGCTAATTTGGCACACGCTGATGTGGTAGCGGTTTGCGAAATCATTCCGCTTGCAACCACACGTCATGAAAATGGGACTGTGTACATTTTGGTTGCTTTGATCAAGCTGCTGATATGCCCAAATTTAGCCCAGTTGCCATACGTGTTCTAAAGATTCGCTATGTTAAATGAGAGTTACCTTATGAAGCAAATGTTTCTAAGATTTTCGTGTGGTCAACACACACCCGATTTTCGTAATGTTGCCCAGATGAACTTGCAACATCAGCACATAGAAAATGCTGAACAAAAACCGTGAAGCTTATACTTTAGTTTTACATCATTCCATATTGAACATCCTAATCCCAACCTGCGACCCAAGAACGCGTTTTGTGCCAGCGAAAGGCACACAGAAGCGTAACCAATCCATAAAAAACCTCTCCTACTTACGTGAAAAGCTGCCAAAAGTTTTCGAACAGGTGGTGTCCCCGCTTCTTCCCTGAACCTGGATTTCACTCAACTACGGCTCACACTTGTGTGAATCGCAGTGGGCAGGCAAATGTGCCCCATCTTTGCATTTTAGTGACATCGTGTTCCCGCATACGCAGAAGGGCTTTCAAACCTAATTGAATCAGTTGACTTTAGCTGGTTTCCTTCGCAAGTTCCTTAATGCCGTAGCTTAGTCGCTGCACCGAAAACTATGTTAAAAAACGTGACGTAAATCTATGTGCACGGGCCTCTAGCATTTCGTCTCCATCGAAGTGCGACCGCCGCTGCCGGAGTTTGATCCAGTGACCTTCGCACCAGCACTTGGGCTTTATAACCACTATAGATCACTACGGCGGGTAACCGCTTGTTCAACCACTTGTTAGGGTAACCACTTGTTTATAGCACTTAGCTACAAGTCCAAGTGGTTTTCGTAAAAAGTTTTTCCTTAAGAACCGTTCTTGAGATAGAAAAGCTCATGGGTATAATGTGTAGCTTTCATGGGTTTATTTATATATAGGTGCTTCGAGTTGTCGATGACTTCACTCTTGCATTGAGAAGAGGTAGCCGCCCTGTTTAAATAACTTGGTAGAGTTACTGCTTTGAGTATAGCGTAGGTTCGAATTCCTAACCAGGATAAAGATTTAGCCAATTAGAAAACTTTGCTTATTAGGCGAAAACGGTGTGTGAGTGTAACGCATAGCGGCGCTGAATGAGAGGACAGATAATAGGCAACAGTAGCGCCGTTTGGTGGTGTCGTATGGTGATACCTTCAATGTCGTCTGCAAAAAAAGATAAACAACAGCCCAGTATTCAAAACACGCTAGTTTGTATGCATGTGATCTCTTATATCAAACCAGCAATGAACACTATATATGTGTACGCTCACGAGTGCTGTATGGTGGGAACCTAAACTGCGTGCTTGCGGAGCAGTATACTACAGTGTACGGGATGACGGGTCTCTGTGAAGTGGGAAAAGCAGCATTGGAAATGCAGATACGAAGTTTGTCCGGCTCATGTTCAGCTCCCACGATGGCGGCCAAGCAAAAAGAAGCAACCGCAGAATCTGGGTTATCACCATGCGCGTCAGCAGGATTTTGCCTTGGGGGCAGGGGGGGATGCGAGACCATGTTGCATCATGGCTGGGAGAGGGAGAGAGTACCTCGGGAAGGGACAAGTTCTGGTGTGGATTGAGGAGGCAAGGTGCTCCTTTTTCACCCCTCCCTTTTCGACGCCCATGGCTGTCACCCATTCCCACCATTTGAGTCTACTTCCTCTTAATTTGGTTTACAGGAACCACAGGTACGTACTAAAGTCATGTGAAAAAAGAGCGGAATGAGAAGGCATTCCACTCTTAGAAGGCGATTGACCAGTGAAGCTGTTTAGTGATCAATAGCTTGGAGCCATAGCCGATCACACACCCTGCAGATAAATCAGATCTGAAATCTATGCACAGAAAGTTCCTTTTGAATTGAAGTTAACGCTTTTTATTAAAGTAGCATGCGTCCTTTTGCAGCGACACGCGTTTTTTTTATCTTGCTTGTCGCATGCTCTTGCTGTAAGGCTTTTCACACCACCATAAATGATGTTTTCCCAATTGTAGCGTGGTTTTGGCAAGTTGTGTGGCACATATGTTTAATGGTAGCGTGGCTTGGCAAAAATGTGTCACACATATCTTTATCGCAAGTTCCAAGAACAAAAGGAAACTCGGGGCGCTCCAGAGGGACCGGGAGATCGCCGAGAGTCTTCGACTTCCAGCGCCATCACGGGCAGAGCCCCCAGACGAGGTCTTCATCCCGTCAGCCTACTCAGGATACAATGAAGTCTTCTCTTTCTCTTTCACTCTTTTTTTTTCTGCCCGCAGATGACTGTGTCATTCCTAACGTACCAGCGCTGAGTATAGTTGGGTTCGCCCAGTTTATGTTGCAGGTATGTGCACATGCCTGCACTTGGTTACAAACTATTTACAGCGAAAGCTGCTATGAGATCGGAACACATGTCACCTGCGGCGCCGTAGTTGTCCGCTGCAGCCGCCGCTGGTGTCCGTAACCAGTATCGCAAGAAATATAAATAAACTCAGTAAAGAAAAAGAAACAGCAAAGACACAAGGGGATTTCAACCCGGGACCACTGCGTGCCAACCCCGTATTCCACCACTGAGCCATTGTCGGTGCTTGGTACTCGTTTCCAAACTGGCCTTAGGGAGTCTTGATGTCGGGAAATGAATCACGTTTATGTGAATAATAAAGCGTTTTGGAACATCAAATAAACAACCAGGCATCACACAATGCGAATTGCGTAACAAGTCGGTTGTCCAATGCTACAACCTATTAGAAAACTTGTTCTTGATCATGATTCGTAATCGTCACCAGCAACTGCATAAAAAATTGCTCAAAATTCTTAGCAAGTATGTAGCGAATGTCACGCTTCTCCGAAGAATGACAAGGATAGCATCGTGAATGCTGATGTATTGCAATTAGTATGGGTCCCAGGTCATTGTCACAATAAATGAAATGGCAAACGTCTTAGCCCGCTCATCCCTAGATCTCCCAATAGTGCGGGTTCTCCCGGTGGTAGAATACTTCACCGCAGACAGGTAGAGAAGATTAGATATTCACACGGATAGGATGGAAGTAATAACCACGTAGACAGAATATAATCACCTAAGCTATCCGTGGAAGTCGCAGTGGAGCCCATTTCGACAATCAGAAGTGACGATCACCAGATTTCGATGTCATGTCCCCCCATTGAACTTTTACTTGTACAGGGCTGGTCTGACGATATCACCCCTCTGCCAATTCCGTGGAGAACTGAAAAATATTGCACATTATTTTTTTAACGTTCAAGATATTCGCGTATTAGAACTCGGCTTCTAATTACTCCTCTTGCAAAAATAGGCGTGACCTTATTGGAGGAAATTGTTTTAGGCTTCGGTGCCTCAGGGTTGGGATACTGTCACAGGGATGCCTTTGATGTCATGTGTAATTTCAGTAAAACGTTTTAAAGAGTACCATTTTAGTCTGGTAGTTAAAGTTATTCGCCATTTCAATAAGTTAAAACCTAATTAGGCTTTCAAAAGTGTTCCCGTCGGGTTAATGTGGCGGTCTGAAATACAAGCTCAAAAACATATTACTTGTAGTTTAAATTGGACATTTTATGTATTATTGCCATTTAATTTCATTATTTTTGGTTTTAATTACATACCTTACCTAAAATAGCATTTAACAGTTTTAACGTTGCATTCCTGGTCAATGCCCCAAAGTGAGTATGCGCCATTTATCGAAGGAAGCAAACAAACAAACAAACGAATGCTGGCGTACTACACAAAAATTATGATTATTTATGGCTTAGTGAGTACCCAGCAAGTGTGCTTGTAGCAGTTACCCAAAGGTGTTTAGGAAAGTCCCTGAAAGGCCGCTCTCCTAGTTTTCGCTGGGACGGTGCTGCGCGTTCCGCGCAGGCCTCGTGTTTTTTATTGTTTTTTTTTTTTATTTCGAAACTTGATCGTAGGCATAACACTATGCGGCATCATAAGAATACACACAAGTTTGTTTCACGCAGTGGTTTTTTCACACACATGCATATTCAGAGCCTAGCTATATCCAGCTTCGCTGTAAAACGAAATCAAAACAGTTCATGCTAAATGCATGCCATAACAAAATAGTCCCCAGATAGCAATATACGTCTTGTGAGTGGACGCGCACAGTAACTTGTTCAAATTTGTGTTCAGCACCATCCTGATTCCACTTCCCCAACCACACCCCCCCTCAAATGATTCCTTCGTGAATCAATAAAGTTGATTACCTACCTACCTACCAGGGAGCACTTGAAGGAAGCTCTGTACACCAACGTCGTAATATACAATTCGTGTGGTTTAAGTTTGTTTTAATAAACTTATTTACACGCCTTCCAGGGTGCTCAGCACCTTCGAGGTCAGGCCTTATAACGCTATTTAGGCGAGTAACAGACTGTTATAAAAGATGATTAGCCAAGATTTGCATGAAAGACACTGGTGTTTGCTTGAGTTCATGCCGTCACAGACGAACCGCCTGCGGAATCACCAGGAAATGACGTGAAATATCGAATCCGGTGTTAAAGCAGTTCGAGCGCTCTGTTGGCTTGGTTTGGAACTATAGTCCACACTTCATTCGCAATAAGAATAAATCAGAGGCATATAAGCTGCATAGCCGTCGGTCGTCAAGAATATCTAGAGTGCCAGTTCTTTCACCACAAAGCAACCTTTAGCGTCATGCCATCGGGAGGTTTCGTCGCCAACAGTGCTTTTTGTGATCCACCAGCTTATACACTTTAAGGGCAGCAGAGTTCGTGTTTTGCTGTTCTGCGCTTGTTTTTCTTGCATCGGGTTTTCTATCTCTTTTAATCCATCCTTCCATCTGCTCTTTTTCCCTCTAAGACCATTCGGAATAGGAAACCGTACACACACCTGCTTAACCTTTCTGCTTTCTCTTGATCTCATTGTTTTGCTGATCACCAGCTGTGTGTCAAAATTCTGTGTCCACGCACGCAAGAACTCTGTGAGCTTTCCAGGCATCGTGATCAGCCACAGTTACGTAACTTCGCGCAGGTGGTCCGTACAGGGTGGTACACTAAACGTCATAGTCATCATTCGCTTTGTCAGTGTCGAACCTCACGAGCAGCCAAAGGCTAGCCGCACCTGCCAGCTTTCAAGTCCTCCCACAGACTTCTTGTCTCAGCTGCCGTCAGCTCATGCTGGGCGAGGACACCTCCGTACAACGAACACAGTGTCTTCTTACCCCGGCTCTTCTTCCGGTGGTTGTGGAACCTGGGCGCGCCCTCGAGCAGCAATCGCGTTGCTTCCCGCGGCAACGGGCGCTCTTTCTCGGCACATGCCGGTCACGTACACGTCCTCGAAGGGAAAGATGGGTGCCACCCGAGCGGCCGCGTACAGAGGCCTCGACGGCGTCGCGAGTCACAACGTACGCGAATCCGCTCACAAAGTCCGGCAGTCGCGCCTTGGCGAACAGCTGCGGCGAGGTGAACCACTTGCTGGCCCGGTTCCGGTTGGGTCGGAACCCTTTCATAAGGTAGCCGACGATGGCCCTCCGGCGCCTCCGGGACCTGGCGGCCAAGTACCCCCGCAGTGCGGCGATGTTCACGAACGCATCGTCATCGGCCTTCAGCAGATACCTGTGCAAGAAGGTGAATATCTGTCAGTCTGAACGGAGGCACCGAATTACGTTTTCTGCGACCACATATAGCCAACTTATCAACCATGCTATAAAACGAAGCATGATGGGAAACAATGCCCTTCTTTGAAGTTTGGAATCTGTAAAATGAGGTGTGTAAATAAAATAAAGAAACCAGAAAGCAGAAGAGAAAACAATTTGCTACATTTCCGAGCCGAAGTCGTATACTTTAAAATTGCGTATGTAATGTTCGCTGGTTTTCTTCATGATGTCAATCTTGAACGTTTGTGTGCGTGCACGAGATATGGCTGCTAGAAAAAAAAAGAAACATTACAATGATTTCTAAAGCCTCTTAGCTTCCGCACACAACACCATCTTTTGAGCAACATGTCATAATATTATACCAGCAGGTATTACTGCTAACACACTAACATAAAAAGTACAACACAGTAATATTAGTCGCTCCGAGAAACTGAAAATAATAGTAAAGCACTTGTCATCATTAACATTGGCACGTTACAGGTACGAACTAGAATGCACAGATGCTTCCTTTTATGTTTCTGCTTGCACTAGAGCAAATCCAATAAAACAGTGGTGCAAATATCATCATTGTCTGCCTAGAGAACTACACGGCAATGTTTTTTTTTTCTTTTAAGGAAAACGTGTACGTTGCTGACACCCGTGCTTCATCACGTACCTTATATACACTGTAGTCTTCAGTATAGAGATACCGACTGATCTACCTGTGATATTCTCTTTCACACTCGCCATGAAAGCTTCCTTAATTCAATTAGCCAAGGAACCTATATGATTGCAGTTTCCTGTGAACGCTTTTTTTTCTGTTATATTGATGCCCCTTTGATACCGGGCGTCACAACTTAGTAGGCAAGTGCATCGCACTGCGAAACTGAGAGATTGTGGATTGGATGCCTGGCCGCGGCGATCGCACTTTTATGCGATGGACTACAATGACAACAGGACATGTATAGTAAGACAAAGGTGCACCAATTATAGTTCCAAGGCATGAAGTTTTCCACTGCACTGAGCTTCACAATCATATTTATTGTCGTGTTGCTTGCTTCGTGGATGGAATTCATCCTCTATATACGTCACACTCTTAGCGGCTTGCCTTTTTACGTTCAGTTCCAAACTACGTAAAAGCCTCACTCGCTCTGAAACTGAAAATTTAGGCACACAACAAACCAACATAGTGAATTTATTCTTTTATCGGTTAACTTTTGACGAATGCGGGGCTTCGTCACTAGGGTTGAACTTTTGTTTTGCAACTGGAGGATACACAATAAATTTCAGCTCATTGCCGATCTTCACCGATTCGAAAGAAACATGCTTTTGCGCGAGTACTTCTCCAGGCGCCAACTGACTGAACAAACCAGTTCCACGTTATCCACTGGTAAACACTGGAGTCCACCTTCAGAACAAGATAAGTGCCGCGACCTATACGTACGAGCCGCACAGCAAGACATACCTAAAGCGTACGAAACTCGTTCGAAATTCCGTCATAACTTCAGCTTTAAAGAGGCTTAGGAAATTGAGGCATTGGCAAGCCGAAGCGACTTAGAAATCAAGCCGGCAGATAGACGGGGTGCAGTTGTGGTAATGAATGCTTACAGCTACATTGTTGTAGCCCAGAGGCAACTTGACGACACGACCTACTACACACGCCTTTGAAATGACCTGACAGAACAATTCAGATGCACTGGCAGTGATGTTGTGGCCGACCTTGCGAAAAAAAAAAATCGCTCAATCAGCGTTATGTACCCTTATTTCCCTGTGCCTTGTGCCGGGTAGGTTTCACACCCTATCTAAAATTAATGAAGAAAACAATCCGGCTAGACCGATTCAGCCTGGAATAGTTACGGTGACTGAGTACATCTCACGCTACGTTGATGGCATTATTTCTTCCATTCCCGTCACATTTACTTCTTATACTAAAGACACGAACAATTTTTAAACCATATGAAGGATCTCTTTTGTGGTGATTCTTGATGTTTGCTCCTTGTACACTGATATTCCGCATTCTGATGGTATCCGGGCTGTTGTGCACGCGTACAACGAGTCTGGTCTCGACAAGGCAATTGATTCCTCCACACTATAGCCACGCTTTTAAAGTTAAACCTCAATCAAACAATTTCGATCAATGTTCAATGGCTAACCCTACTTCCAGGCTAGCGGCACTTCTATGGACACTAGGATTGGCATCAATTACACATATATCTTTATGTGCCTCCTAGAAAACGAGTTTTTTTTTCGCCCCGTGACCTGAAAACTTTTTACTGCAAACATTTTATTGACGATATTTTTTTAATATGGCATCACGCCAAATCTGATCTTCTTTTTTTCAGCGAATATTTCAATAATTACGTTCCAAATATCTCGTTGTCACATTTATGTTCAGCGATCAGTGCCACTTTTCATGATGTCAAAGTAACATTTAACGATCAAAAACTGACGAGAAAGCTGTACAGGAAACCGACCCACAAATATCAGTACCTTCATTTTCAGAGTACTCACCCAAACTTTGCAAAACCAGTATTCTATACAGTCATGCCATTCGTTTTAAGTGCATCTGCTCTGACAACAAAGAATTTGTTCGCAGCTGCAAGTACCTTCGAAGTGCGCTAGACAGACAAAAATATACCCTCACGAATCATTGACGACGCCCTCAATAAGGCAGAAAACATCGACCGCAGTGATTTGCTCACGAGTAACGAACCACCAGAAAGCTTTTAACCTAACAATGTGAATCTCATTTTAACCCATTCAGCATCAATTCCAAATATGGCCAACATTCTCAAGAAACAGCACAACATCTTGAATCAGAGTGACCTCCTAAAAAAATATTTGCGGAACCACCCAGGGTGGTTTATCGCCACTCGCGTAACCTGCTTGTTACCTTAACTTCGTCAAAAATATACAACCGATTGAACTACGTCAGCTGTCCACCTTATAATAAACCCCGTTGTAAGCTCCGCCCACACATGACAACTTCACACTTCGAACCAGTAGCGCTTCAAGCTTTTTTACGAGCATCAACGGAGACTTCACTTGCGACAGTGCCAATGCTGTCTACATGGTTCAGTGCTCCATACGCCACAAGCAAGAAAAAAAAAAGGGGGGGGGACCTAAAACTTTGTCTCTAGGAGTTGAACGCGATAGCGACATCTTGTTTCTAGTGCGTACTTCAAACACTAAGTGCATGAAACGTTGTTGAATTTTCTGTGCACTCACTACGTGGCCTTGAAGGAATAGGCGCAGTAGCGTGTGTGTCTTTTGTAGTGGGGTACCGGCTTTCAAACACAGAGCCAATATGATAATCACATATTGTCACGGCCATTGGCAATGGACGCTTGTATTACGCGTTATTAGTGCAACATTTCATGTTGCATTGCGAAGCATGTATACAGGCCGCATGTGTTTGTGAAGCACGAAAAGTATTTTCACTGCGTTTCCGAACAGAGGAAATTCTTTTCCCTGTTTTGACAAGCAGAACATTAGGAAAAGAACTTTCAATCACAGCTCGTGGTATTAGGTTCCTTCCGTTCAAAAAGAGTCGGACTGATAATATTCCTTACGACTTGTTTATGTTGTTGGGACTTTATTCATTATGGAAAAGTCGCATGATCGATAGACACGCTGAGCCACCACGGTCGACGAGATCTGTCTTCCGAGAAGCAGCTGTTCAAGTGCGCGGTGTTGTCGAGACTTTTCACCCCGTTCCGGAGTGGCTTCCCGTTCTTGACGCTTGTGAGTGTTTGCCTGACTTCTGATGAAGTATGTTCTGTGTACTTCGCTGGTGATGATTTCATGCATTAAAAAAGAAGCATGACTCAGTGGTAGAACATCTGCTTGCCACGCAAATTACCCGGGTACGATCCCAACGTAAGCCCAAACAGTCCTGGTTCACTCCCCACTTTGCTCAAGAATTTTTCATCGTTCCCAATTTTTTCGGTCACGCATAAGATAACTAGTCTTCGCTCACGACGAACAACGCCGACGCCGGAATTTCCGCGAAACTATGTCATTAACGCTATCGCGTAATTGCATCGGTCAAACCAAAATTACATTCTGATTACGCTTTAACAACCATACATTTCACGCTTCTAACCTACCTCGTCTTCTACTATCAAAACATGTCCAGATGTCGGGTCACTCCTTTGCAAAGATCAAAGCTACCATACTACAGCCTGTATTTAAAACTCATCATGACGGAGAAGTTCGGGAATTTCCCCTCGTTAACAAACTCAACAGTCTTCCCTTTGGCATAAATGATAGCATCAGACATGTCGCCTTTCTTTCTGTGTAAAGTTTCCATAATCATACGCTAGCCTCCCCCCTTTCGCAACACACACCTTTTTTGTGTACCCCTCTTTTCTTCTTCATATTGCATTACAATTGCCTGTTCCATTGTTTGTATAGCGACCATAGTGAGTTGTTAAATTTTGCTTGGTGATCTGTTTGTATCTCCAGGTGTGCCGAAAAAAGCGTGCGTGATAATTGTTTCACGACGCATGTCGTCCTAATCTCTGGTGTCTCTTTCACGGCTGAATCATTGTCTTACTGTTTTACATGTTTAACTGATGCGACGGGTTTCTGTTTGTATGTGCCTTGAGTTGGGCAATGCAGCAGCAGCAGCAGCAGCAGCCTCGGCATGTTGCCTAAATGCATCTTTTTGTTTGCACAGCTCCTGAATTTCATTGCCGGCCTCGCCGCTCGTGTCCAGTGCCCGGCGATCTCTAGTTCGGACGCACACGTGGCGATCACCGGTGGTTTGCTGTGGGATAGCCCCTTCAGCGAAGAGCGACATCGGCTTGGTTTCTCGGCGTGTTGCTTGACACAGCTGGGATCTTGCGCACACCCGTGGACGCTACAATCATCGCAGCTCCGATAAATGACGCCACCACATCGTTGACGTCAGGCATCACCAGTATAAAAGCCCGGTCATTCGCACATCTCGGCAGTGGGCAATGCAGCAGCAGCAGC